ACAGTGAAGCTGGAATAGTGTAGTGGAACAGTGATGGTAGATTGGTGTTGGTGGAACAGTGGAACAGTCATGGTGGAACAGTGGAACAGTGTTGGTGGAACAGTGGAACAGTGTTGGTGGAACAGTGTGATGGAAAAGTGCGACAGTGAAGGAAGAACAGTGGAAAACTGATGGTGGAACAGCGTGGTGAAACAGTGGAACAGTGATGGTGGAACAGTGTTGGTGGAACAGTGTGGTGAAACAATGCGACAGTCAAGGTGGAAGAGTGTAACAGCGTGGTGGAACAGTGGAACAGTGATGGTAGAACAGTGTTGATGGAACAGTGGCACAGTGATGGTGGAACAGTGAAACAGTGTTGGTGGAACAGTGAAAGAGTGATCGCGGAACAGTGGAACAAAGATGATGGAATAGTGTGGTGGAACAGTAAAACAGTGATGGTGTAACAGTGTGGTGCAGCAATGGAACAGTGATAGTGGAACAGTGTTGTGGAATAGTGAAACAGTGATAGTTGAGCAGTGTGGTGGAACAGTGGAACAGTGATGGTGGAACAGTGTTGGTGGAACAGTGTGGTGGAACAGTGCGACAGTGAAGCTGGAATAGTGTAGTGGAACAGTGATGGTAGATTGGTGTTGGTGGAACAGTGGAACAGTGGAGCAGTGTTGGTGGAACAGTAGAACAGTGTTGTGGAACAGTGTTGGTGGAACAGTGTGATGGAAAAGTGCGACAGTGAAGGTAGAACAGTGGAAAACTGATGGTGGAACAGCGTGGTGGAACAGTGGAACAGTGATGGTGGAACAGTGATGGTGGAACAGTGTTGCTGGAACAGTGTGGTGAAACAATGCGACAGTCAAGGTGGAAGAGTGTAACAGCGTGGTGGAACAGTGATGGTAGAACGGTGTTGGTGGAACAGTGGCACAGTGATGGTGGAACAGTGAAACAGTGTTGGTGGAACAGTGAAAGAGTGATCGTAGAACAGTGGAACAAAGATGGTGGAATAGTGTGGTGGAACAGTGGAACAGTGATGGTGTAACAGTGTGGTGGAACAGTGGAACAGTGATAGTGGAACAGTGTGGTGAAATAGTGGAACAGTGATGGTGGAAAAGTGTTAGTGGAACAGTGTGGTGGAAATGTGTGATCGTAAAGCTGCAATAGTGTGGTGGAACAGTGATGGTATATTGGTGTTGGTGGAACAGTGGAACAGTGTTGGTGAATAGTGGAACAGTGATAGGGGAACAGTGTGGTAGAACAGTGGAAGAGTGTTGGTGGAAAAGTGTGGTGAAAGAGTGGAACACTGATGGTGGAACAGTGTGGTGGAACATTGGAACAGTGATGGTGGAACAGTGTTGGTGGAACAGTGTGGTGGAACAGTGCGACAGTGAAGCTAGAACAGTGATGGTAGATTGGTGTTGGTGCAACAGTGGAACAGTGGAACAGTGTTGGTGGAACAGTATGGTGGAAGAGTGATGGAGGAACTGGGAGGTGGAGCAGTGGAACTGATAGTGGAACAGTGTGGTGGAACAGTGCAACAGTGATGGTAGAACAGTGTTGATGGAACAGTAGAACAGTGATGGTGGAAAAGTGAAAGAGTGATCGCGGAACAGTGGAACAAAGATGGTGGAATAGTGTGGTGGAACAGTGGAACAGTGATGGTGTAACAGTGTGGTGGAACAGTAGAACACTGATGGTGGAACAGTCTGGTGGAACAGTGGAACAGTGTTGGTGGAACAGTGAAACAGTGAGGTAAAAAAGTGTGGTGGTAGAGTGATGGTGGAACAGTGAAACAGTGATGGTGCAATTGTGAAACAGTGAAGGTGGAACATGGAAGAGTGTTGGTGGAACAGTGTGATGGAACAGTGAAATAGTGATGGTGAAAAAGTGAGGTGGAACAGTGATGGTAGAACAGTGTGGTGGAACAGTGGAACACTGATGGTGGAACAGTGGAACAGTGTTGGTGGAACAGTGTGATGGAAAAGTTCGAAAGTGAAGGTGGAACAGTGATGGTGGAAGAGTGTGGTGGAACAGTTAAACAGTGCTGGTGGAATAGTGTGGTGGAACAGTGGAACAGTGATGGTGGAACAGTGTGGTTGAACAGTGGAACAGTGATAGCGGAACAGTGTTGTGGAATATTGAAACAGTGATAGTGGAACAGTTTGGTGGAACAGTGGAACAGAGATGGTGGAACAGTGTTGGTGGAACAGTGAAACAGTGATGGTGGAACAGTGTTGGTGGAACAGGGTGGTGGAACAGTGCGACAGTGAAGGTGGAACAGTGTGTTGGAACTGTGGAACAGTGATAGTGGAACAGCGTGGTGGAACAGTGGAACAGTGATGGTGAAACAGTGGAACAGTGTTGGTGGAACAGTGCAACAGTGATTGTGGAACAGTGGAACAGTGTTGGTGGAAAAGTGTGGTGGAACAGTGCAACCGTGATGGTGGAACAGTGTTAGTGGAACAGTGTGGTGAAACAGTGCGACAGTGAAGGTGGAAGAGTGGAACAGCGTGGTGGAACAGTGAAACATGGTTGGTGGAACAGTGAAACAGTGATCGTGGAACAGTGATGGTGGAACTGTTTGGTGCAACAGTGGAACAGTGATGGTGGAATAGTGTGGTGGAACAGTGGAACAGTGATGGTGGAATAGTGTGGTGGAACAGTGGAACAGTGATGGTGGAACAGTGATAGTGGAACAGTGTTGTGGAATAGTGAACCGGTGATAGTGGAACAGTGTGGTGGAACAGTGGAACAGTGTTGGTGGAACAGTGTTGGTGGATCAGTGTTGGTGGAACAGTGTTAGTGGAACAGTGTGGTAGAACAGTGCAACAGTGATGGTGGAACAGCGTGGTGGAACAGTGGAACAGTGATTGTAGAGCAGTGTGGTTGAACAGTGGAACAGTGATGGTGGAATAGTGTGGTGGAACAGTGGAACAGTGATGGTGGAACAGTATAGTGGAACAGTTGAACAGTGATAGTGGAACAGTGTTGTGGAACAGTGGAACAGTGATGGTGGAACAGTGTTAGTGGAACAGTGAAATAGTGATGGTGGCATAGTGTGGTGGAACAGTGGAACAGTGATGGTGGAACAGTGTGGTGGAACAGTGGAACACTGATGGTCGAACTGTGTGGTGGAACAGTTGAACAGTGGTAGTGGAACAGTTTTTCCAGATCCACTTTCCGTGCTAATCAAGTTCATGCTTATAACACGAGTGGTTGAAATGAATTTTATATTCCTTTCTGTCGTACCAAGATAAGGACGTTTTTTATTAAGGTCCTGTTTTCTTTAATAAGCTGAATTCTTTCATTTGTGATGGCCCCTCCTTATATTCGTTCCAATCCAGAGTTAAAAACTTTCTTCTCTCCTGTTACAGAATTCTTAACTTAAATTAGTCTTTGTTTAGTTTTTCGTTACTACACGTATTTTTAATGCATTACTGTCCTCGAATTCTCACTTTACTTATTTCTTTTTGACTGGGGAGCCCAGGCTTCATAAACCTGCTGGTTTCTTCTGGGCTCCCTTGCCAACTTACAATACTTATATGTATCCTTGTATTGTAATTTATTTTGGCTAAATAAACTGAACTGAACTGAACTGAACAACTACGTTTAATCTTGCTTTATACAATTATGTAAATAATACGTGCGCTGAGATTGGTCGTTGCCATGTTCTATTGGAGTACAGATACATGAATGACGTCATCGAAAAATTGTTTCCTTTGTTTTGTTCAACATGGCTCGCGGTTTTAAAAATGTTTGTAAGATTATTTCGAATAAGGCAAATGAGAGCCTTGCAAAACGTTCAGCAGGAGCTATTTAAAAAGACGAAAAAAGGAGAAACGGAGGCAAAAAGAGTTCTTGACAACTTGAGAATGCCTTAACAACAGTTGCGATCGTGTGTCATCGCTACGAGAGATTCACTGTTTTGCAAAATGTTTTCCCCATTAGTCTGCTTTGAGCAAGGAAAGATGTTGAAAAGAACGTTTCGAAGAAACTTACTACAAGTAAGATTAAGGGGAAAAGAAGAAGGAGACACGAAAAGTAGAGTTTGGGACTTCAACAATGCCTAAAGTAATACAAATCCTCGAACAGTCAAGCGCTACGAGGAAGGCCGTATGTGTATCGGTCTTTTTTCTCTTCTGATCATTGTATAAAACAAATGGATTCCATGTTGCCGTGGGTCTGTTCAGTAATAGATCACGGAACACGTCGTCTGCGGCTCGTGTGCCACTTCTTTGTTTTTACCACATTTTGACGTCATCTGTGATCTACATTACTGAACAGACACACGGCAACATGGAATCTATTTGTTAAATAATGTACAGAGCCCAGTCAGCGGCACAGGTGCGTGTTAATATCAGACGATTGACAAACATAAAAACATACCAAAAGTGTTTCCTAGAACATTATTAGCTAATAAAGAAATTGGAATGATATGAGTTCGCTCATCAGTGCACTAAGGTAGGGCTAGGTCGGCACGAAACCGGATATTTTTGAACCCATATATTTTTTATCCAGAGTCGTGTGAACCGGGCCTTAAACCACTCTGGAGAGCGGTTTCAAACCAATGCGGTTCCGGTGCAGACCGGATTCACTGGTTTCGTGTGGACGCAAGGCCGATTCGTGTAAAAAAGTATGCGGTCTTAAAAATATCAGGATTTGTGTGGAAGTAGCCTAAATTACGTCCACAATTAACAATGCACGCGAGCTACTTTATCTATGCCTACAACTAGCACGCAGCAGTTATATCAATAAGGTTTCGTGAATAACCAGAGTTTTAAACGTGTCTAAAAGCACTGTACCTTCAACAATAGCTGTAAGGCCGGAGTGATGGGTATAGAATTGAGAGGGCGACCCGTTAAAGCGCGCCCGATCTCCAGTAAGGGATTCCCTAGTGTAACACCGCCATTTTTTATTTGTGTTGGTCACATCATAATCAAAGCGGGCGTACGTATTCTCCCCTGGGTGAGCTGTCTCACAGAATTCACCCAACTTAGCTTTAAGGTCTGTAAGAAAACGTACAAAAAACATTCAGTCAGGGTTGTCAGAATGCGCCGGCTACCTTGAGGGTTTCGCCGGCTGTAAATTGTTAGAGGAAACGAAACAATGGAAGATTTAAAATATTGTAAAAAAAAAATAGAAAAAGGAAAAAGAAATCGTTTTAATCGTACTCTGCATGATCGTTTTGTGATTTTAAACGGGTTTCGAATCCGCTCTCGCTTAGTTCTTCCCGTCGCCGTAGTAAGATACAATAAAGCGAATAAAAATAGCGTAGATGTATGCAAAAGGGTCTGCTTACATTGTCTTTATATAATCTTTCGTGGAGAATGAAAAATAAAAGATACGCAGAAGTCTTAAAAAATCTCTTTTTAAGAAATTTGTATGCGTTGGTGTTCTATTTCCTATTTCGAAACAATTCTCAAACAAAGTTATCGTTTCCACACTCTAAGAGAAATGTGTTTTCCAGGTGGGGGAACATATGTCATAAGGGATACGTGTTTCCCAGGTAGGGGAACACATATCACTAGGGATACGTGTTTCCCAGGTGGGGGAACACATTTCACTAGGGATATGTGTTTCCCAGGTAGGGGAACACATATACCTAGGGATATGTGTTTCCAAGGTGGGGGAACAAATATCACTAGGGATACGTGTTTCCCAGGTAGGGGAACACATATCACTAGGGATACGTGTTTCCCAGGTGGGGGGCACATATCACTAGGGATATGTGTTTCCCAGGTAGGGGAACACATATCACTAGGGATATGTGTTTCCCAAATAGGGGAACATATGTCACTAGGGATACGTGTTTCCCCAGGTAGGGGAACATATATCACTAGGGAAACGTGTTTCTCAGGTAGGGGAACATATGTCACTAGGGATATGTGTTTCCCAGGTGGAGGAACACATATCACTAGGGATACGTGTTTCCCAGGTAGGGGAACATATGTTCCTAGAGATATGTGTTTCCCAGGTAGGGGAACACATATTACTAGGGATACGTGTTTCCCAGGTAGGGGAACATATGTCACTAGGGATACGTGTTTCCCAGGTAGGGGAACACATATCACTAGCGATACGTGTTTCCCAGGTGGAGGAACACATATCACTAGGGATTTGTGTTTCCCAGGTAGGGGAACATATATCACTAGGGATACGTGTTTCCCAGGTAGGGGAACATATATCACTAGGGATACGTGTTTCCCAGGTAGGGGAACA